CAAGACAAAAAGAAAGCAATTTTCAAACAAAAGCCATTTTCAAAATGCTGTGCTTACACTATTCTCAGTCTTAATTTTAAATTTATTTTCCAAGAGTCTTTTGTTCTTAGTTGCCATTCTTGCCTCATTTTGTAAAGCAAATCCAAGTACATAAGTGAAGTCAAAAAGTTAGTACTGATAGTGTAAGATGTAATAGTTTGGGGTTTAGCACAATTTAAACAGACTAAAGGTATAACATTTGACTGTTTTTAGGAGGAAAGAGTTTCCTAAATATACGTGAAATACTTAAATGCAATGTAAACAAAATATAGGTTGTTTTTAATACATGAAAATAATGAAATGTTTTAATTAATTCAGACTTAAAATTGTGCTTCATGTACTCTAATTTTTATGTGCATCTTATTTTAAAATAATATACTTATTATCGGAAGTTTGACAGTATACTAACTTAAAAAAGAGCTTGGTAGTAATTTGTCCAGTTTGCCTTGTCTGTTTGAAAGCATCAATCCTGCATTTTTCAAAGGTATTATATACTTCTGACTTTTTAAATTTCAAGTCAAATCCATGAAATGCACTTCCAACTAAACAGAAGTAGCAGCAAATTATCAGTAAACAATGGACTTGTATACACATTATTACTCAACACAACTCTAGTAGATATAGATTAGCCAATTTATAACACACACACACACACACACACACACACACACACACACACGCAAAAACACTTCTTATCAAGTTTTCCATTTCCTAGCTTGAGATTTTGGAAACACTGTGTACCACTGCATACCTGCTAGAATAGTCACAACCTAGAACACTGATAACACCAGCTGATAGCAAGGATGTTGAGCAACAGGAACTCCTATTCATTACTAGAGGAAAGGCAAATGGTGTAGCCACTTAGAACGACAATTTGAAAGTTTCTTGCAACAATAAGTTTTGTCTTACCATATAATTGAGCAATCACATGATTTTTATTTACCCAGATGTGTTTAAAACAGCTCCACACAAAAACCTGCATATGGGTATTTATACCAGCTTTATTCATAATCACCATAATTTGGAAGAACTCCAGATGTCCTTCAATAGGTAAATGGAAAACAAACCATGGTACATCCAGACAAGGGAATGTTATTCAGAGCTGAAAAGACATTACCTGTCAAGACATGAAAAGAAAAAACATGGAGGAAACTTAAATGTATATTGATTATTAAGTGTACGTCATATGTAGCCAATTTTAAAAGGCTGCGTACTTTATGGTTACACCTATATGACATTTCAAGAAAGGCAGAACTATGGAGATAATAAAGAGATCAGTGGTTTCTAGGACTTAGGAAGGAGGAGGGATGTAGATGAAGTACATAGGATTTTGTGGCCAGTGAAACTATTCTGTATAATACCATGATATTTGCCATTTGTCATATACATTTGTTCAAACCCATAAAATGCACAGCATCAAGAGTAAACCTTAATGTAAACTATGGACTTTGGATGGTAATGGTGTGTTAATGTAGGCTGATCAGTTTTAACAAATGCACCATTCTGGTGGGAGTTGTCAATGGGGGAGGCTATGCAAGGGCAGGGAATGAAATTGTGTAAGAGCCAGAAGTTAAAGATAAACCTCTGTGTCTTCCACTCAGTTTTGCTCTAAACCTAAAGCTACTGTAAAAAGTAAAATCTATTAAAAGCAAACCAAAACTTCAAATTACTGAAGTGATATGTGTACAATAGCTAATAATGCAATTCCCATTTCTGATTTGTAATTTCTGATTTGTGGGTATTACCTTAAAAATCATATTATGTTCTTAGCCACTTACTACATACGTTCACAGAACTGGTCCTGGATAATGAAAATGTATTTGAGGAAAATTAATCATAAAACCTTACAGATATTCAAAATACTGTCTGCCTGTTGCATAATATAACTTGGGGGAATTCAATCAATTATAAGTATTTGTACTTTCAGGTTTATTTTCTTATGATAATTGCATTCATTTTAAAGTGAAAATGTGCATGTTTGATTTGGCTCTTTATTTTATCAATATCTGCCTGCTACAAACAAGCTATAAGTAACTATTAATAAACAACAGATAAATGTAATTAGCCACAGACATTAAAATCTCATTTTTAATAAATGTATTATAAAATATCATTTAACAAATGTAACCATTCTAAATTTTAATTACTATGCAAGTCATAAATATCCTTAAGATTCATACACATTTTCATTTACATCAAGAGCTAAGATACAACTGCGTATACACATTTAAGAAATCAGAGGTCTAGGGTTTATTCCAAACAGGACTCTATGTCTAGGACACTCAGCAATCAATTGGAAAAGGAATCTGAGAAACTCCTTAGGCAAGCAGAAACCAAGAAGATAGGGCAACTATTACATCAAAATGCAGCCAAGCAGAAATGACCAGTATCCAGTATACTTACACATTTTCTGTGGAGAAACAAATCATTTATACTTCACTGAGGAATGTGATCATAAGCCAAAACATTCAATGGATAACCCAGTAAAAGAGATTTTGGACAAACTAACAACTGCATAGTATGGATAAAAGAGTAAAAATATTCATCTAGGTTTATAATGTAGGTATATAATATCAGTGATGAGTGATAAGGTAGGATAAGGAGAGTTACAAGAACATTAGCCCCAAGACAAAGAAGTCAGGCAATAAATATGAAAGTACAGTAACCAAGTATATTTTTTGAGGCAAGGTTCTAACTCAGATCGAAGTTGCTTACAGATAATTTTCGAGACAGGAAATAATCCCTAAATATCTCAAGTAAAGTCAGGTGATTGTAGCTGTCTGGATAGAGGATTAGACACCTTTGCTGGAGGAAAACTTGGCAATTACCTCTGCATTGATAAGTCATAAAATAAGTACAGCTCAAATCAAATAGACAAAATAGCTATGTCCAGTTAACGGACAGTAATAAATTAGTAACCTCTTTTCACTTTGTTATTCTGAGTGTCACAAAAATAAATGTTAGAACTTCACTGCGGAGGATAAATTACTTTTCATATAGTACTAGATTTTTTTTTACCTATTTTTTACTAAATAGTAAAAATATTCTTAAAAGATTAAGTCCTTCTACTTCCCAACTCTCAAATCTAAAATTTGCCAAGTGCTGCCAAGTACACTTGTATATTCCAACCAGAGTTATCTTCTATATTATTCATATCATATTATCAGTTTTTAAAAATACATATTTTATTGCGTTTAAGGTTTTGGGGTACATGTGAAGAACATTTAAGATTGTTGCATAGGTACACACATGTCAATGTAGTTTTCTGCCTTCCTCTCCATCACCTATATAGGGCATTTCTCCCCATGCAATTCTTCCCCAACTCCTCACCCCCTGCTGTCCCTCCCCTGTATCCCTCCCACAGACCCCAGTATGTGATGCTCCCCTCCCTGTGTCCATGGGCTCTTATTGTTCAACACCCACCTGTGAGTGAGAACATGCAGTGTTTGGTTTTCTGTTCTTGTGTCAGTTGGCTGAGAATGATGGTTTCCAGGTTCATCTATGTCCCTACAAAGGACATGAACTCATCGTTTTTTTATGGCTACATAGTATTCCATGGTGTATATGTGCCACATTTTCCCTGTCCAGTCTGTCATCGATGGACATTTGGGTTAGTTCTAAGTCTTTGCTATTGTAAACAGTGCTGTAATGAACATTCGTGTGCATGTGTCCGTATAATAGAACACTTTATAATCCTTTGGATATATACCCAGTGATGGGATTGCTGGGTCAAATGGAATTTCTATTTCTAGGTCCTTGAGGAATCACCACACTGTCTTCCACAATGGTTGAACTAATTTATACTCCCACCAACAGTGTAAAAGTGTTACTATTTCTCCACATCCTCTCCAGCATATGTTGTCTCCAGACTTTTTAATGATCGCCATTCTAACTGGCGTGAGATGGTATCTCAATGTAGTTTTGATCTGCAGATCATATTATCTATTATTAAAATATGCAGTAGCTCTTCATTACCTACATTACTTATCCCATTTTATAAGCTCCCAATTACATTACTTTTTGGCAAACCCCATCATCCAGCCAAACAACTACTTTCCTTAGGAGTAGCCTAAAGGTATCATTATATCATGGGAATATATCTGTATCTACCTATCTATGATAAAATTTATATATAAATAAACATACCACAGAATTTATGTATATGCATACCATCTTTGAAAATTTGGTTATTTTGTCCTCTCTAAATATTGTTTTATTTTCCACTTACTAGATATTATCTCGTATCTTAAAATGCCACTTCTTCCATATAAGCTTGGTCAATTGTCCCTGGCAAAATTAACCAGTCGTCTATATTGCTATCATTTGTTATTATCTTGTAAAAGCCCTCAATTATTGTGAGCTTTGTTGCTTACAGGATGCTATCTTGTGTTTCCCTGTCATATTCAGAATAGACTACCTAATAACTTTTAAAAATCTGTTTGTGAATTCACATAATTAAGGTAGCTTCAAGGTGTCTATGCACCTGAGTGAAGAGCAACTTTGTGGTTTTGTTTTCTGCTATACATCCAAAGCAGCATAGTGCTTGACTCATTATAATGAGTTTGTAAGTATTTATTTAATGAATGATTAACTTCAGAGTTTTCTAAATGTGATGAGGGTGTTCCAATTAAATTGGTGGAAAATCAAAGTAAAATTCATTTATCTGACTTATCTGGCATCCTTAAAATTAGAGAAAGCCAAGGAATCATTTGTGATTAATATCTGACTTGCAAATGAGTTTTCAAAATTAATAAATACCACATTTGTTCAGTATCATGAAATATCTGCACAATTCATTCAATTATGTAATAATTTTAATTATGTTCCATCATTTCAAAAAATAACATTTCAAACCTATTTGAACTGCAATGTTTCACAAAATATTTTGACATTCTCTTTCCCTCAACATAAATAACTGTTAAAAAAATAATAATTTTGTTGTTGCTTTATTATCTCCCTAGATAACACATATCTATCACTGGCTGGGTGTAATGCAAGCAAGGGACAAAGATGAAATGGAAACATGCTCCTTTTTTGGTCATAATATCACTCCTCAGCTTATCCCCAAATCACCTGCTTCTGGCCCAGCTTATCCCAGGTAAGTGCCATGCATTTGTTTCATCAACACTTAACCAGTATTCCTGATTTGCTTTAAATTCACTTTTTATTGTGTGTGTTATGAATCAAATTTGTTCATTTTCTTTGCAACTTGTAAGTCCGTGTGAATGTCTTCTTGAGTATGAGTGCTGATCAATTTCAGGGATCGAATTATTATTCTTGAATAGAGAGCACTTTATTAATTCCCAAGAGGAACAGAACGTTGAGAAATACTCACTGTGCTGAGACGTGTAAGGAGTGTTATATTAACTAAGTGAATTAGAGTGGCAGAAGTAAAATTACAGAAAGGAAAAGATGCACAAAGAAAACCTAAGCTACAATGCATGTCAGTACCATAGAAAAGGAACATCAAAAAAGTGAAACATGGAAAACTGACATTTCTTAGAGTAGTAACATGTTAATTAACAGGCTGAACAATGTAAGAATAAAAGTGCACCAGGGTGCTGTGTTGCTACCATAATTACCACTGTATAGATACAGCTTAAGTATAATTCTCCTTAAACTGTATGGCCAACTGATAACTCCTACAGGTCAAAAAATTTAGTCCATGGTGTCATTATTGAGCAGGATATCAAAATTTAAAATTGTTAAGTGAAGTTTGAACTACCTTTGATTGAACTACACAAATAATTCCTTGGTTTTCTCTACTTTTAAGGATGACAGATAAGTCAGATAAATGAATTTTACTTTGATTTTCCACCAATTTAGTTGGAACTACTATCGAGTGGAGAAGGAATGTATGTATGAGTATATATGGTCTGAAGGTACAAGGTTTATCTAGGTAATAAAAAATATTACCTTTTTATTCAAAAGGATATTGCGTAATTTTAGAGAAGACAAATCAACTTGAACACCTAGGTGCAAAATCTGTCAAACCTCTGTGATTACTATTTTACATGCAAATACTTCTAATGTATATGACTTCATTGTCTAATATAATATGTAAATTGGTTACAAAGGTGATAGTTTGGTCATCAGTTAGTTAAAAAATACACCACACAAATTGATTACTCAGGGCCCATTGAAGGCAACACTTTCTTAAAAAGAAATAAAGGTAACCCCAAATGGGATGCATACAGTTAGATGCCCTCTTTTTTCAGGACTACAGAGTTCAAGAATCATTTCAAAGTAATTTCCCTGTCAAAAGAAGTATGCTGTTAGCTTTTCAAAAAGAACACCTACAGAGCGGAAGTCATTTTCATAACTGCCTTCATCTAGGAGCACTGGCTCCAGGCAAGGGAGAAAATCTTCCGAAAGAACTCATTGGCCTTAGAATGTCCCCTCCTTCCCATTAATCTCAGAATGTAGAGAAGTCTTGATTCTTCTCATTGTTTTTCTAGCTTTAATATGTTTGTTAGATACCTTGAATCTGGATTGAATTGAGCATATCTCAGAGGAGGCAAAAACTTTGAAGGCAAAAAATCAGTGTCTTTTTTAAAGCAAAACATAGTTTCTTATTCAACTGATTCATTTCTTTGAAGAAAACAAAATCTGCTTCATCAGACATGTATTTCTAATAATAAACAATCGGATGAAAAAATATAACCTGCTCCTAAAAAGATAAGGAGAATTTTATATTCTGTAGTACTTGGCTCCATGAGTTAGCATTAGCCAAGATGTCTACAGGAACAAGATTTCTCAGGGTACAAAAAAAAAGGATCAATTAAAACACTGGCACAATGCAGATTATTTTATTACCACATCAATGAAGTAGTTTTTACTTCAAGCTGTGGCTAGGTAACTTGGTGTAATTAAATATTAAAATACTTGAACATAATGTCTGGAATTGATTTATTGCCCCATTCAGGTTTTTTTTCATTTTTTATTTTGTCTCCCTGTATAATACATTTTTAAAACTGCTGTTATGCTTCATAACATTGTATATGAAATGGTTGGTATATGAGAAAGCAAACAAATTACTTGTATATAGTAAATCAAGAAATACTCTTATTGTTGAAAATAAATTGGTTTAGAGGAAAGGAATGATGAAGAAATGGATTCTAAGAATAATTGGGCTTTGTCAACCATTCGAATTGTTGCTTGCATTGCATGTTGAGCCCATTAAAACCCACCTCCTTTTTATTAGAACCACTGGATAACCACTGGTAGATATTTTTCATGTTAATTTACTTCATCTCTAATTCACAAATGAAATACATTCTTAAACCAAGTAAGGTTATCTGTTTATACGGGCTGTTTCTGGACTATGCCTCATCATGACTTAATATCTGCTAGAAAAGTATACATTTTAAACATCTACCTTTTATGGCCAAAGGTGTCAGGAAGACAATGAAAAGCAAGTGTTAAGTGACATGTTGTTAAAGCATACATTTTACATATAGTGGAATTGAACTAGAAATTTTTAAAAACCTCCATGGTAAAAAAATAAAGTTCAATTCTAGGTTTATATTGCAATGTTTTAAATGAAAATACATCAAGGAAAACCCACAGGGTTGTATTTCTATTTGAATAAATCAGACAGGCCACTTTAAAGTTAGGCATGATTTATTTTTTCCCCTCCATTCTCTAAATGTGCAGCAGTGTTGTCCTTCATTAAAGGTGCAGGTGCTGACTGGGTTATTTCCTTGTCCCTGACTCATGTCAACAAGCCTTGAGTGTGAAATTTTCTGAAATGATTTACTGCTTATCTGCCCCACCCATCCATTGACCACCACTTTATTATCTTGTTATTATATCCCAGGAAAGAGAACTGAAAATAGCTGTTAACCAGGTCTGAATCATCCATAAATAAATTATAAATTGTGGAAAAAAAAATCATCATGCAAAATTTTAGAAATTACAACGAATGTGTACATACAACCCCCACATATTTCTAAGTTTTGTTTTTGTGTTAGTTTTTGTATGCTCAATACATTTTGAATAGACTTCAGGATTAACTTCAGATTTTTTAAAAATCTTCTTTATAATGTGAACACAAATTGAAATTAAATAAATTCCAGAAGTCTTAATGTAATAGAAAGAATCTTTAGGAATTTCTTTTGGGATACTTTATTTAACAAGTATGTTGCATGCATGCATCTTACAAAGTTTATGATTCACAGGTATATTGTTTTCCAATATTTGCGATTAGTTTCTATGGCAAAGTAACTATGGACAATGATTAGGAAAGTGTATGTCCTTTAAAACCTATAGAGATTGCTTGTTCATAGGCAAGAGTTTAATTTTTTAAATTGCACTAACTGTTTAGAAAGTCAGTTATTTTTAAAAAAACATAAAAACTTACCATTATTGCATCAAATGTTGCTATAAAAGTACTTAAATGTTCTTAACTCTTAAATTATGCATTGATAGAGGTATTTATTATACACAAAGTAATCTGACTTTACATGCTACTTGACAAATTTGTCTGACTAGGAAATTGTCTCTCAACATGTTTTTCATGATTTGCTTTTTCAGAAGCACCAGAGATGTTTCTTAAAAATAAAGATTCCTAGGGTTAATGGCACAATCACTGAAATAAAGAGCTTGGGTTTGAAGCCCAGGGATCTGCAGTTTTACAAGTATCTATAAATTACCTAACAGGCAGAAAATTTGAGAACCTCTGCCTTAGGTGGTTGAGTTGATTTGGTTTTAATGTTGAGTACACTTAAAGAATGTTTATTCTCTGAGGACATATTTTCATGAGGAAGGGAAAAAGTTATTTGGAGATCTTTGTTTTCTATATTGCAAGGATTTGGAGAAGCAGATTTGGTGCCACTACTGGTTTTTTTTTGCTTTGGTTTTGCTTATTTTTTTTTTGCTATCTTCATCTCAGAGTAATATTTCTAGATTGAAAAACATAATAGATCCTATTGGATGAAAGGCATTAGCTCAATACAGAAAGCAGATCAGTGAAAATTAACCTATATTATTGAAACTGACTTTACAAAATTCTAAGTTAAGTTTCACTAGTGGGTACAATTCCCCCTACATTTTGTCCAAGCCTTAGTAAAACCTTAAACCAGACATTAAGTAGTTGGGAATTTATAATAAAGTAGAATAATATGTTAATTAGGTAAATATTCTATAAAAGGAAGCTAAAAACCATGGCTGCATTATGACTTACAGAAGCCTTAGACAATTTTTCCTTTATGGACCCCTTTTACCATAAAATCATCTTAAAAGTACGTCGATATCAACATGACTTATACCCAAATGTGATGCCTAAAACCATTAGTCACTATGAATAAAATGTAACAAAAACTTACCTTTACACATTTCTGTAAACTACATAGAAGAAAACCATAACATAAGAGAAACCAAATATTCTCTGAATGTTACTTTTTATCGTTCAATTTGAACAATAATAATGGACTTACCCAGTTTAAAAAGCTGTCAGATGGGTGTTCTCTTGCTGATGGCTCACTTTCCAACATGCTGTGTTTCCTGTCCTCTATTCTTCTGCAAAGTTTAATGAGCTAGTGCCAGTTGTGGGCTAATGGAACCCATGAAAGAGATCTGCTGCTTGTGGTGCTTCACAAAGGTTGCAGAGGGCTCATCCCTAATCACATTGCATGCCTATGTGTTTGTTTATGTGTATGTGCATATACACACATACACACACACATGTGCCTACAAATCGTGAAGGTCTCTTGTTACATACTCAGGATATTTATCTACTGTTAAACTCCTGTGATTGGATGCATTTATTTATTTTCCCTCCACTCTGCCCATTGATTTAGTAATTGATCATAATGTCAATCATTTTTGAAATACCTGAGCAAGTACTTTCTTCCTTTTTTTTTCCTGTTGTTTTTTGTTTGTGTCTTTGTTTGTTTTGTTCGAGAAAATAAAACTCCCCCGAAGATGAGAAATGGAAGTCAGTTAGTCAGTTCCCATTTATTTGTGTTTTGCACAAAACTGCTCAACAGTACTTTAGGGATATGTCCAGGTAAAAGT